GACGTTTCATCTTTAATAACTAGCTAACTGCTAATTAGATGAAGTAGATGGCCTTGTTTGGTAATTAATTGTTAATTAATTGTTTTAATCGACAGATTAATTAGAGGTTTAGAAAAAATACTATTTGGTGAAATTAACTATTTTATTAATTATTATGTAAAATCGCTTATAGTACAATCTAATACATACTCAATTAATATATCAATTTATATAAAATAACTTAATATATTGATAATTCATGAATAAGATACTACATAAACATTAATTAATCGTCCCTATATATAATTCCCGAATGCGCTGAGCCTACGTGGCTGTTTCTGGTGCTTCGGAATCCTACTTGGCGAAGAATCATGCTTCGTGATTAGGTTCGGACAAATAATATTGATATATTAATAATTAATATCTAGGTTCAGACATTCCATAAATATTATTTAGCTAACTTAGGTATTTTAACATCATTTCTACTAATATAACATTTTAGTTCTTTGTAATTTTACATAGTAAGACACTAAGTGACTAATATATCCCTGACTTTTGATTTGTTTCCTTCAATTAGCTATTGAATTATAAATTTATTTTAAAAGTTGATAACTTTTGTATTTCTTATCGGTTTTACATATATAATATATCAAATTAATCACCTTTTCATTATCTTCGATTTGACATTCATATTGTATATATAAAATAAATAAATAATATTTACCTTTATAATAATAAAAAATAATATTTATTAAATTTTATTAGAAAAATAAATTATTTCTCAGTTGATATATTTTTGTTTAATGTAGTTATATGTTGTAAGTTAAAAAATTATTTTAATATAACACAAGTAAGTCACACAAATAAAAAGTTTCATACTAAATATATAATAATATATATTTTTATAAAAGTTATTTAAATTTTCAACTACTTTTTCTCAATAATTTTAGATTTTAAGAAAAAAATTAGCAAGCACCCGTGTAATACACGGGCGATGTACTAGTATGTAAAATATATATGCTATGTAGTAACTCATGCTTGTATTAGTCATCGTGTTAATCGCATAATCAATCAATTAATTTATCTTTATTGAATTATTATGTTTATTTTAAATAATTAATTTATCTTTGGATATGTAATTATCATTTGTGATTATCTTTATTAAATTATTATGTTTATTTTAAATAATTAATTTATCTTTGGATATGTAATTATCATTTGTTATAAACATCTAGTACATTAAATTGGTTATATTTAAAGAGAATAAAAATATTTGTTTGGATATATCAAGTGACTAAACAACTTGATCAAATTACTTTTAAGTGATATTTAATTTAAAATAAAAAAATATGAAACAAATGAAGTTCATCCCGGTTGGTCAAATTGGGGTGGATCAATTTTAAAAATATTTTATTACGATAAATGTAGTGTATTAAAATTTCCAAATAATCATATGAAGAATATTTGTATGATAGCTATGTTCAATGATTATATATTATTTTATAATTTTTATGCGCATAAAATGATATTGTATTTCAACTTTTATTAGTGTACTGTATGATAGATCCAAGGTTCACATAATTGGATAGTAATCAAATCGATTAAATTATTTATTTAATGATTTATTGGTAGTACGAGAATGTAATGCATTAATATTTTAGTATATATGTACCTTTCTGTAATAAACTTATATATTAAATAAATATGTGAATAATTTTAAATTTAATATTTAAACAAATTGCTAAATACTTTATGATTCTCCATTATATTTACATATGTATTTTTTATTTATATTATAAATATATTCAATTGTAAAAAAAAATATGTAAAAATTCATACTACTTGTCTAGTCGACTCTTGTTCGCTAGCAAACAATTTGTTCAAACGAACTATACCGATCGATAAACCCGTTCTTAATCCATCCAATTAGAATGTTCGATCCAATTATATTTCAAAATAAATTAAATAATGGATAAACAATAATTAATATTATTTATATATTTACAAATATGGAAAACTATACTTAATCCACTTAGCTATATGGTGGTTCACACTTTACTCACTCAACTTTTTTTCGTGACGCTTTGCTCATATAACTTTGCAAGAAATTGCACTTAACCAATTTCCAGTCGTCGTCGGGTAATTGTAAGAGTAAAATTGACTTTTCTGTCATCTATTCAGTTAATTATAATTAAAAAATTCTACGTTACCCACCTACTTATTCGTTTCTTTACACTTTACCTATTAAACTTTGTTCTCTTTACACTTTGCACGTATAACTTCAAAATAATTTGCACTTAAGCGATTTTCGATCATTCGTGGCACATTTGTAAAGGAAACGTTGACTTTCAGTGATTTGTTTATGGACACATGCATCATAAATACTTCAGAGGTTCGGGGGATTGTGCCGTCCATCCGCAGAGCCCTCTTCATAACCTTTTTTCTCCGATCGTTCTTGCCTTGCCAATCATTTTCTTTGCCCAATTAAGATCAAAACCTTGCAAAAAGATTCCCCTCTGAAATTCGGTCAATTTATTTGTTGCATCACAATATTTTAAATATTGTACCGTATCGGCCAAAATACCGGTTTATATCGGTTCCATACCGGAAAATACCGGTTTTACCGACAAATACCGGCCAAAATACTGGTTTATGCCATTTTTTTAAAACAATTTTTAAATATGTTTTCAATAATTTATTTATATAAATTAAATGCTCTACACTTAATTTTAATATGTTTACATTGTTATTAGATGTTACTTAAGTTTAGCATTAATTAAAGTTAGTTTTGTACGTTACTTATATTATAATAAAAAATTAATTGAATATTTATTGAAATCGGTAAAATAGACTGTAAAACCAGTTGAACCGCATACCGTTGGCTCGTCCGGTACGATTACTGATACGGTATTTAAAACACTGGCTGCATGAGGAAGAGGAGATGTTTATCAGCCGCTGCTAGTGGTGGTAGTAGTGGCAGCGCCGGTAAAGCAGGTGCATCTATACTTATATTAAAGGAAATCCTATTTACTAAATATAGTAGTTAGAACAGTCAAACTTAATTAATGAATTTCTAATTTTATCAACTATTTAATTAATGCATCTAATATTTTGGGTATGCAAATCAAATTAGCATTTAATTAGTTCCTAAAATATTGTGTATGCAATATTAATTTAGGAATATCCATGTAGTTCCTAAAATGTTGGTATGCAGCACGTAAAAGAAGATTTTTTTATTTTTTTTTCAAATATAAAATATTGCAACACGTAAAACTATTCAAGTTATTTTTTATTTTATTTTACATATAAAATCTAATCAATATTTAATGCCTCATACAAAATTGAATTTAGTTTAATTCTCCATACAATTGGTTGTAATTTTTTCAGTTGTACTTTATTTATTTATTTATTTTACACTTTTAAATTAATGAAGCTCTCCGAAAATACCAAATCAATTGATTTATGAAGTTTTTTTTT